AGTGCATTTAAAAACTGAGAACTGCAAGCAGGCATTTCCTTACAAAAAGAGTTGTGGGAGTATGGAACAAGCTACCCAGCCATACTGTTAAAGCTATAACCCTGATTTATTTTAAGAAATGGCTGTATGAGATGCTCCAGCCAGGACAGGAAGGCACATCTTCACACAAAGGGTTGTGGAAGTCTGGGACAAGCTACTCTGCAATGTTGTTCAAGACAAAACCCTGATTTCTTTCAAGAAATGGTTAGATGATCAATCAGCTACCAGAAGCCAAATGGCAGGAATGGTGTCCATTCATTTGTAACCTCATATGTTCTCATGAGATGTGAACAAGACCAAGTGAGCAGCCACATCTTTCACAGCACAGCCCAGCCCTGTGGACTGATAATATTATTTACCACTTAGGAAAAGCAAATAATGTAGAGACATTATTTTTTTTCTGTGGACTGTTGCATGTGTTGACCTACCAGTCAGTAACCACAACGTTTTGTTCTGTGTCAACCATTGTTGTTGCTGTTCTCAATAGGACAACACAATACTACACACATTTACCATAGCCATACTATATAGAATATGGTATGGAACAGATGCTGAGCTAGTGAGAGATAAAGATGTTGTCATTGTTGAAATGTATTTATTTTATACATACTTAAGAGACGCTTCTCTTCTACGACAAAGACACGTTTTCCATACAGTTTCAGTAGTGATGGACACCTGAGGGAATTATCTTTTATCTGTCTTTCCTCTGCAGAGTAAAAAGTAAAGCAAATTAAATTACCTCTTTGGTTTGCCTCCACAATTCAGTCCAGCTAAGTTTGACAATGTGGTCACTCTGTTTGTTATATAAGCTAAAATCACTGTATGTTTTCCCCTCCTTACAGATGTTACCTCTTTGATTTCAGATGAGCAGTGCTATGTAGTGTCAGAGAAACCAGGCGAGATATCCAAATCAAACATTATTTTTCATTTTGAAAGAATTCTTTAAACACAAGTTCTTACAGGTACAAAGTACAAAGCCTATGCTTTTCAGTGCTATTAAAACTGAATATTCAAACATTTGCGTGTTGTATTTCTGGCATGGGAATCAAAAGCATGCAGCGTTTTAAAGATGCAAAGATTAAGATAAACATTGAGGGAAAAATGAGAGTAAACAGTTGGAGAGCTTGGCTTTTAGGTACATAACGTTTGAGTGAAGGAACTGAACCTGGTGGTCAGTAACACACCTTATTAAACTGAAATAATCACTCACAATGTGGGACCTACTGTACATGAGCAAATGAGACTGAGGCAGAAAGAGGAAAAAAGAGAACAAGGACTGAGTATTAAAGTATCACCAGGTAGGGTGATAATCTTTCTTATTAGCACCCTACCTGGTGCTGCTGTTAATAAGGCATCAAATCTCTGCATGTCAAGTAAACAGATAGACATCTGTTTGAATCTGCAACTCAGATGCCTTTGTGGAGGAGAGGAAACCATCAAAATACACTTAGATTGGCTACTTAACTATTGGCCACTATTAATGGTGTTGGAATACGCAGTGAAAACAGGTATAACAACTTTGAACCATTTTTTTTAAGAATAGCAGTATAACATGGCTGTCCAGTGTTTACAGAAGGGCTGTCCAGTCCTGGTCCTGGAAGGACTACTGTGTTTAGAGCAGGGCTGTCCAGTCCTGGTCCTGGAGGAGGTCTGTATTTAGAGCAGGGCTGTCCAGTCCTGGTCCTGGAGGAGGTCTGTATTTAGAGCAGGGCTGTCCAGTCCTGGTCCTGGAGGGGGCGCTGTGTTTAGAGCAGGGCTGTCCTGTCCTGGTCCTGGAGGGGGCGCTGTGTTTAGAGAAGGGCTGTCCAGTCCTGGTCCTGGAGGGGGTGCTGTGTTTAGAGCAGGGCTGTCCTGTCCTGGTCCTGGAGGGGGTGTGTATTTTGAGCAGGAGTGTCCAGTCCGGTACCCAGAGAGTCGCTTTGTCTCTCTGATATCAGGTGGAAATCCTGATTTTTGTATGGATTTAATAACCTCCTTATTTTGTCATTTAACAGCCCCCAGGTTTGTAACAAAATATTGCAGCTTTCAAAGCATTGTAAGGAGTGTTCCTTCTGGCCCTGCCTCACAGGTCTGTCCACATACAAATTGGGAAATTGGGAATACGGAAGCTGAAATTGATGTGGTTGAAATCGCTAATGATTTCTTCTTAATCCAGTTTGCAAAACACCAATTATGAAAGTTAATTAAGTTATAATTAAAAGGACAGATGTGATAGGCCACTGGGAAATGATGACTATAATATGTTACTTATTGACATCTACAGGTATTTTCAATCTAAAAAAACTGAAATTTGGAAATGAAGGTTTATTATTTTAGAAAGGCAGACTGGAGGAATGAGGAAGAGCTTTACAGCCAAATGGATGAAACATGGATAGAGAGTCAATAGAGGATCCATGGCTGTATTTCATGAACACAATGTGAAAGGCTTTAAACAAATTCCCCCCGAAAACAATGAAGTCCAACTCTAGGAAAACATTGAGATTAATGAACGGAGGGGTAGAAATTTGAAAAAAGAGGGCATTTTACAGACTGAGTAAAAGGTCCCGAGATTCAATGATAAAAAGAAATATTCCATTCTATCCTAGCTAGGTGTCTGCTCTATGAATACAATTCCTAGTTGCTTTAAGAAAAAATACCGAAAATGGCACCAGGCGCTGAGTTTATATTCCTCTCTAGGTACCCTAGCCCCTGTGTGTTAAAATAACCCAACAGAGTTCATTCTATAACATGAAGCATGGTGTTGACATTGTCTATTGAAATAGTTCAGGTGGGGAGCTGTGTCAGCATGCGCAGGCTGCAAAGGAACAAGTAAAGGTTTATTCCATGCTGAAAAGAGAAGAAGAGAAACACAACGTTTCGGCTGTGGAGCCTTCGTCGGGTGTGAGAGAAGGTCAATTGTGAGCCTGAGTGAAATATTCAGTTAGCAGGTGTTTAAGATCTTGGATCATTAACCTCCTATCATGCTTTAATTTTTCTCCCACTTCCACAGCTCTTTTGCTCTTGTACTACTGGCAAAATGCCTTGCATTATTCTTGTCTCCAGTGCAAGCGATCTCCCTCTTGGTAAGACTAATGTCTCTTTTTTAGCTGTGCCTGATAAAGCTGGGAAAATTGGGGTGGGGGATAAATAGCTTTCCCTTGTTTGCATTTTTCTTATGTTCTTCTGTTGCTTGGTACTGTACAAAAAGGATAATTGTTTTTTACAAAAATACAGGGGAGAAAAACGTAGGACTACCAGGAAGAAAAGATAAGTATAATTAATTACTTTTTCAGGTCTTAAAGGTCAGGATTATTGAATGTCCTCATCACACCCTGTGTTTAACAAGTCTGTTAAATTATCACATCTGACTGGCCTACAGTACAAACAGAAACAACAGCAAGCAGAAGGAAATCTGCAGTTAACGGAATTCAGGATTCCTACAACCCAAAATGCTCTTACCACTTGACTTGACAGACACTGGGCAGATTCTGGTGACTGACCAGCGAAGCAGAAGAAGACATGAGTTTTCCCAAAGCAGTGACTGACCCGAGGCTTTTCGAAGGCCGTGTAACAACAGAGCACATCAAATGTCAAGTTGAGAGGGCAGTAGGCCTACGATTATGAAACCAGAGGCTTCCTATAGCCTGACAGCAGGCTGTGCTCCAATCAGGCGAAAAGACTGGCAATATTGAGCATGTCATGGCTATTTACTCTGACAGCAAGCAAAATAAAGCAGCTTCTGGGACTGTGATCCACACACAGTTGCCATCATGCTTCACAACCTGTAGTTCTGATGAATAAGGACTGAACAACTACTGCTGCAAAATCTTTTTCTTTCCTTCGTTTGTGTACTCAATGATAATATATCATGTCTATTTTTAAATTCTTCTTCGTACAGATTACATACAGCGGGCCATAAGAATCAATAGGCATGATCCCATAATTGTATAGCACCTAAAATTATCTGTTGTGTGTGAAGAAATATGTACAGTATATAGGTATATAACAAGAAAACAGTTTGCAGGTGTATGGTGTTTTATGAGCAAGTCATTACTATAAACTATGGGAATGAACTTAATTTCTTGCTTTTTCATCATGATGGAGGCAGAGTGGAACCAACTGATGAGACTTCTAGATATGCTTTTGCATGCATGAACTCAAAGTAGCCAAGCACAGCTATTTTGCCCCTATCCAGGATCATCTGTATGGTATCCGCTAAGCAAAAATCTCTATTCTGTTGTGTTTTGATGCATTTATTTTGTAAAGTAAGGAAGGTTCGCTTTGCTTTAACTTCATTAAGACTGTGGTATTATTCTGGGAAGGGACGTTTATTTTATAAGCATGTGTTCACATTCATTATGCTGAGAGTGTCTCTCTCAGACACTACAGCAGTCTGTTTCTCACTGAGTAGGACACTGTTAGTGAGAGTAGGGGTCTTAACCCCAGTGTCCTGACTACTGGTCAGTACAGACATAGGACACTGTTAGTGAGAGTAGGGGTCTTAACCCCAGTGTCCTGACTACTGGTCAGTACAGACCCAGGACACAGTTAGTAAGAGTAGGGGTGTCCATTCCACTGGTCATTACAGATCCCAGGACATTGTCAGTAAGAGTAGGGATATTAACCCCAGTGTCCTGACTACTGGACATACAGATTCAGGACATTTTAGTAAGAATAGGGAGAGCCCACTAACACAGTGGATGAAGTCCTTCTTATGTGCTCAGAACCTTTACATCTTTTGAGATTGAAAAGTGATACTCCATTGTAAATGCAAATAATTTGTTATAACTATCATTAAACCTTAATTCTGTCTTCTCCACTGATTTTTTTTATTATTTGTTGAATTGGTGACTTTATACAAGAAGATGTCTCTTGCTCCACATAAACGGAAAGACAGCTTCTAAAAAAACACACAGAAACCAGAAACAGCACGCAAACACTTCAATGTGTAATACAGTAGCCGCGTCACGTCACCCAGTTGGAGTTGCACGTCTGTGGGTGTCTCCATTCAGAATATACTGTATACGAGGCGTTTTGAGGTCCTTGTGTATGTAAAGTGCTATATAAATGTAGTATTATTGGATGGGTGGCACAATTGTAAGTATCTGGATCGTGCAAATGAGACAAGAGGTGCACAATCCGACACGGATAAATTGTTAGTACTCCGGACCAGAAGGCGGCAGACTCGCTGTACAGAATCACTTTTAACAAATACGCAGGATTTTCTGCGGCTGCATACTGCTGAGGGACCTGCATGGGCGGTCAGTTTTCTGAAGTTTGGGATATTATTATCGCGCTGTAACACGTCTATCTGTAATGTTATATATTACAAACATACTAAAAGTAATTCCTCATAACGTTATATTATGACGAAGTATACAAACTATAAAGTTTAGCACCTAAAGTTTGGCATTCAGTAGCATTTCATAGCTTATCGCTGGAAGATTAAACTCACTCCTTTTACGCGCGCTGGCGCATTGGAGGAATAAGGAATAATTCCTTATTATTAGTCAAACAGAAAAGGTCTGTTGGTGTTAAGACAGTTTATGTGAAGTTATTTAAAGTCGTGTGTGCGCAGCGAGTGTCTCGACGTTTCTTGCAGACTTTGCCTGCCGGCGAGCGAGCGGCGTGCGCGAGTGTGTTGCCATGGCGACGGGACGCGGCCGGGTCTTCCGGAACTACAGGCTGGGCTTGGAGAGGCTGCGGAGCAGCGGCGGCGCGCCGCGCGCTGGCCCGCACGAGCGCCTGCAGGCGCCTCCCAGAAGCCCTCACAACAGCAGGTAGAGGTTTGTAATACTTGCCGCTGCATATTAAGGCTTCAGACCACGCTCAAACTCTACCAGCTATGTGATTGACCAGAAAAATAAATTTCTGCTCAGCAAATAATCTGCACTTCATCCAGATGAAATCCAGTCACATCATCTCTCCCCTAGAGTTGTGGAGCTATCCCACACTCCAGTGAGCGAGTGGCACCAAACCGCCCATCAGGCGGTGTGCAGTCGATAACATACTGGTGCATTCCTACAGGTCGTCCATCACTGTCTGTGTGGGTCACCAGTCTGCATGAGCTGCCATTCACTTTCAAAGGGCTGTCCACTCTGCCTGTCAGGAACATGTAGTTTTCCCAGTTCAGCATTCTCATTCATTATCTGTGTTTGGAATTAAGCTTTTTGTAATTTTTCGCCAATCTGGGGCAAAGTGCATTTTTAGGCAATAAAATAACAATGAAAATGATAGAGATTGACTGGGCAAAACACTGTCCTCAAGGCAAACCAGGTGGAGCTGCAGCACGGATGTCCTTGGGGTGTTACCATGTTGGAAAAGTTTGCTTTTTTTTTCCCTCAAACCCTTCTTTGTTGCTTTCTAGCCAAGTAACTCCCAAAGTGTTGCCTTCCAAGCCAAAAGCATGTGGAAGATCCAAAATCTGCAAAACCCCTGCTGCAACTTCTCAAGTCCACATTGAAAGGCAAGTCAAAAAGAGCAGAAGTGCACCGTTTCCAGCTGTGATCGGCTGCATCTTCTGTGTCACAGAACATAACTTCGAAGGGTTATACCGTTCCAATCATCAAGGCTCTCTTCCAGTATTTATTTCTGCAAAACTCTAGTTATTTGACGTATTTCAGACTGCTGCATCAGAGCTCCTGGGTCCTCCTGGGTTTGATTCTGGCTTGGTGAGAGAGAGAGTTTATTTGTCTCTCGGGCCACGCGCAGTACAATAGACAGCACCACACAGTGTGCACTGTGCTTCACAAAACAGGAAATAATGAGAGTCGCAGCCAAGCTACATGCACAGCACAGTTTGCATGTTCTTCCTGTGTTCATGCAAGCCTTTGCCAGGCACTGGAGTTTTCTTTCGCTTCCAAAATCAGCCCCTGCCCCTGCTCCTGTCACCACCCCTTGCTCTGTCCCTGCCCCTCCATCTGCCCCTGCCCCTGTTCTACCCCCACCCCTGTCACCACTCCTGCCCCTGCCCCTGTGCACAGACCAGGATATTTGTTTGCAGACCTTCAGGATACAACTTCATTTTCTGTCTGGCCTGGATTGAACACTATCTGGCTATAGGGTTTAGTAACTTGAAATTCTGTGCTTGATTTTTTTATAGCTATTATAGCCATTATTATAGCCATTGTTTTTAGACTTCTCATGTACTTAAACTGTTGTCATGAAACTGAATATTAATGAACAACTTGCTGTCATTACTGAATTAATCATCCTGGTCTGGGTCCGGGAATTTTCTTTTTCTCATAGAAATATTTAATCAAAATGGATTTTGAAGGAAGTTGCTTAGGTACGTATTTGATTAACTTTGCTCATTTTGTTTTTATTCTTTGTTTTTATTAGCCTGCCTTCTGAGATGCTGTTGAAGATTTTAGCCTATGTAGATGCAGCTTCTTTGCTCTGTATGGGCAGTCTGAACAAGAGGTTTCACACTCTGGTGAATGACAAGTAAGGATTACTCGAGTGTCGCCCAGTTCTTCTTGGTAAAACCCCACTGGTCCCAGTACTTACAGTGCAAGACACCAAAACCTGTGTATGTGTGTATGCCGTCATTCTCTTATGTACAGGACATTGTATTTTAAGTAAGACTCATGTGTTAATTAAAAAGCACACTGTAGGGTGATTCCATATAAGTGAAAATCAGGTAGGATTGAAAATGCTAATTCTGTCTCTAGCTTTAATTGGTCATGGAAAAACAGGTCACTTAATTGGAGCTTTTGTGTGTCTAAGATCCAAGCTGCTTGGGTTTACCGTAGATTGCAAAATGAGCCTTGTCATTTACTGTATCTTTCCCATACAGATTTCACTGTGAGTGCTGGAACACAGAGGAGACATTCTCCTCTAAGCAATAGCAATATCTTTCACTTGCATTTTATTGTGCTATCTTTCTTTTCTTTTCTTGGATTTTTAATACAAATGAATAATGATTTAGGCCATGTTGTATCTTGCTTCACTGTGAAGGGATACTCTGCAGTGGACCAGTATCCTTCAGTGCTTGGGTTTTAACTCCCTGTTTTTTTTTTACTTATCCGTTGATGGAGATGACATAAGTTAAGAAATGACATGTCATGGTTCCACAGCACGAGTACGTTTAGCAAATAAAGAGGCGAAAGCGGGCTGTTCTGTAGCGATCAAGAAGTCAGTGCTTACTTGTGCAGAAAGCTTTGAAGTTTCTACCACACAGAGAGACCTGAAGTGTCGATCCAGGCCTGGCCCTGGTGTAGCTCCTTGAAAAGCAACAGGGACGGGCTCGGGGTTGTCTGTCTCTGTCTTGTACAGTGTGGTCTCTGTCTTCCCCACGGACGCCAGGTGTACCCGGCTCTGTGTTTGTTTCTCGGTTTCTTAGCTCTCTGTGGTACCGGCTGTATTCGAGGGAGTGGGGGGCACAGAAGTGGAGGCCCTCCGATGAGGTGGCGGAGGCTCTGGGCGCGGCCTCCGTCAGCGAGCGGCCGGACGGGTACTGGAAGAGGCTGTACTTGAGGAAGGTGGCGGTGAGGAGTGAGAACAGGTGGAGGAGCCAGCTGAAGGCCGTCAGCCCCTACACGGGCCTGCCCAGCCACACGGAGCAGGTGCTCAGGTGAGCGGGCATGGGGCCTCAGCACCAGGGTTAGAGACCCCTGTACTAACTGGACTGGGGCCTCAG